TGCCTCCCTTCGGCATTATTGACAAGAGCACGAGCAGGAGCTGCAGCTGCAGCCCCTGCCTCCCTTCGGCATTATTGGCAAGAGCAGCCTCCTGGACTGCTCGCCCGAGTCAGGAGGCACCCATGATAGTACATAGGAGCTTCAGGCACTGAACGGGTAGGCAGTTGGAGAGTAGGACGGTAGTCTTCAGATTTCGGCCGCAGCACTCAGGAGGAGCGCTGCAGTAGTCTTCAGCGCCAGGCAGTAGTAGTCTTCGGCGCTGGGCGCCCATAGCCATAGCTGTAGTCTTCAGCGCTGGGCGCTAGTAGGTGGTAGTAGTTGCAGTGGAGGGAGATGGCTGGCGGAGGCCAGCGGTACTTACCTGTGGCGCCATAGCTCCAGCTCCATCTTCGAGGTACCTGCATCAAGGCGCCAACTTCACAGGTTAGTACTGGACACAGAGAGAGAGAGAGAGAGAGAGAGAGAGAGAGAGTTCTTCCTCTTCCTCCTCTATGTCCACCATCTCTTTTTCCCCTCTCACCACCTGACTTCTCAGTATCAGCGGACTACTACAGAGAGAGAGAGAGTTGTGACTTGAGACTTGAGGGCATTGGATCCAGACTCGACCTTTGGGATTCAGACATTTCGACGAGGGACTATTTGGGCCTGTGCTGAACACTTGGTGTTGACGACATTCCCATCTTCCCCTCTTCTTCGTCTAACCCCCATGTCCTTCGTCTGTGTATGGTTGGGGCTGGCGCAGTCTTCCTGTGTGAAGCGCCAGACCCCTTCACACCATGGAATGATGATGATGATGTATGTTTGGGGCTGCATTGCAATATTGATTGTTCGGATCATTGGTATCTAAGTCTTCCGCTGTGCTATCTTATACTTTGTATTGAAAGGTCGGTTCTTGTTCTGGTCTGCACCTATACGGTATGCAACATGCGCCCAGCCTCCCGACGGACATCCTCTCCTCGCACTGTCTCGGACACCTCTCACAAGCTTTATATTATAAGGAAAAAAATGAAGAAAAGTGGGAGAACTAGTTCCTCTGGACATCTGTTGGGACAGGAACAATACACAAAAGATTAGCATTGAGCACTGAGCAAGGATGAGAAACACAAACACAGATAAAGGCCTACTTACACAGCAGTGGCATCTGTGAAATTTGCAATCCCTCTTTTGGCGGAATGCTGCCCCTCCCGGTAACACAGGGGGAGCAAATCTAAAAGGACACGAACGGGGCTTACCGCCAATTGCCAAAATGGCGCCTCGCGTGGTCATACAGCGCGGGGCCCAAATCCTTCAACTTTCTTTTTTTTTTAGGTCCAAGAAGATGATTCGTCTCCAATTTCCTCTGGGTTCACCCTGTGAACGGGTGAGTTTTCAAAAGAAAATTTACCCTGTGAACGGGTGAGTTTTCAAAAGAAAATTTATCTTCGCAAAGTCCTGAAAGGAAAAAAAATTGCTACCACCTGTCGAGGCCATGACAAATTTCCGCTGACATTTGCTACCCCAAATGCTACAATTGATCCAATGACGGCCTTGTGCGACTACAAGAACCACTAAATGTTTGCCATTTTGAAAGAAAGGGCCCTAGTGTGAGTATGGCCATTAGAAGTGGTTCAAAACGTAGGGGATGTACATCCGTAAACTGTTGAAATACAGACCCAAGTTCGAGTCCAGATGCAATCGCATGAACATAAAAAAAAAAAATCCTGAATTACCTGGGGCCAGTCAATTCAATGGTGATATCTTAAGGCTGTTGCCCTTCTAAAAGAGAGGGGGGGGGGGGAGTTGCGGAGGGCTGAAGACTGATAGGTTTCTCAACGAGTGTCCAATATGGAGAGACTCAGGGGGTGCTTACTGTAGAACACTTTTCACTACTGTGTGGCTGCAAAACCTGCAATTGTGGTCAGATGCGTCCAAGGCGAACCATAATTGTGGTCAGATCATATATGCAACCGGACGCCATGCAGAAAATTCCGCACGTTTGGCGCACGAGTGGATCGGCATGTGCGGAGCATGGGGGAAATATTCACTCAAAAAAAAGAGGGGTCGCATGGATGGGTCAATGGGCACCTGTGTCCGCTTTAAAGATCTGTTGTGGGATGCGGGGGGGGAACTAGTGGGAGGGTAATGCCGCTACCTAAAGGTGAAGGCTGATGTTCTAGACACCTTTTTGAGTCTATTTCTCATGCCCATCTGGACGGAAAGAAAAATATGTACGACAGTACTTGAAAAAGATCAGTTCCTTAGGTGTTGCACTCTTCTGTATCTTCAAAAACAGCAAAAAGCAAACAAAAAAAGGGAAACTGCCGCTGGTATGGCGCACGGTGCGGTTGCAAGTATGGGTCAGATGCATCCGAAAAGGTCACTGTGTGAGTTTGCTGTCAAGATTGCATTCTATTCAGGTGAAGACGGTAGTCATCTACACATCACGAGTTCAAATGCTGTTTCATACAATGAGCTTGAATGAAGTTAGGTGCTCAGCAGTGCTCACACGTTTAAGTTTTTCCTTAATGAAAAGAAGAGGTATTGCTCCTACTGGGCTACCCTTTTTTTGGTCACAGTAAAGACTCTAAAGAGAAGTTGATGTTAGAAGAAATCTCTTGAGCAAGCTCACCACGCCTTGCCCCGTTGACATTCCTGTCTAAACTTCAACATTGTGTTTCTCTAGGAAGTGGGATTCTTTGTCCCTATTTCCCTTTTTCTTTTTTTTATTCATTGACATGTGCTCTTGGTCATGGACTGAACTTGCTTTTC